GGATTAAGTAACATGAAATAATTAAGCAAAGAAAAAACCAAGTATCAGATAACGAAGAACTTAAACCAAGGCCAAAGATGAGGTAACAAAAAGAAGTCTTCCAAAAGTCAACCCAAGGTCAAGGTACCAGATGAACTTCAAGGTCTCAAGTCACAACTCTAAAGCAAAGGATCAAGAACCTAATTATAAGTCCATAAGTCCATTATCTAAGCATAGGATAATAAACAATAGTCCAAGGAAGCAATTAAGTCTTTTAAGGGTTTTTTCCTTTATTAATATCTTAGAAGAAAGAGAAAAAGTCCAAGTGGACAAAAGGAAAAAGGCATAAACATAAACAATAGCAATACGATATGTAAATAATAAGAGTAAAGCAATATAAAGAGAAAGAAATATAAAAATGACATAAAAATAAAGGTGCATAACAATAAATGGCATAAAGTAAAAGTTAGCACAATAATATAGTTATTATGGATGTTAGAGTTAATAATCCGATTCAGGACAGATTTAGCGCTATGTTAAGCAATCATATCACAATCTATAAGAAATATCATACTATGGGAGGCTAGTCAAGAACAGTTTATGTACCATGCAGGTTAGAGATATGATAGAAGTCATACTCCTAAAACATGTAGCACAAGTAAAAACCAAGGAGAGATCAAGCACTAAGGCAATGAGATTAGTCAATTACATCAATCAATCCTTCATGACAACTTAGGACAACCATATGCATCAATCCAAAGTACCTCCAATGATCAATGATCAATCAAATGGTAGATTTTAAATGATGAAAATTCATGAAGAATTATTTCCAAACATCATGAACAAGATGGACAACAAATCATCCAATTGATCAAGAGAAAATAAAAAGAAAAGAAAGAGAAGTAAATATGAAGAGATGACTAAATTGAATCAAGACTAAATGTCACTTCATCATCTATTTCAATCACCTTTCTTGATGGATTAAGGTACTAAACCTATCATCAACTCAAAGCACAAAAAATGAACCAAATGATTCATTTAATGATATATTTGAATTGATGACGGTTTATCCAACCTCATAAACACCCAAAGTCTATCGAAACTGAAGAGAAACTTGATCAACAAGTTATGATCCAAGGCAAAAACCAACAAGCCAATCAAAATGCAATAAAAAGCAATTAAAATGCATGAAATGATTTTTTAAATGAATTTTAAAATGAAAATAAGAGAGAAAATGAGAAAGGAACTTCTAAACAACAAATCAAAGCTCAAGAAAATCATGATAAATCAGAAGCAAGTCAAGGACCCCATGAAATTGTTTGGAGAATTTAAAAGTGCATACAAATATTTTTAAACAAATTAAAATGCATGAAAAAAAAGAAGAAAATAATGAAAAATATCAAAAAAAAAAAGAAATAAAAATATGGAAAGTAGCTTAGAAAATAGAAAATATTTTTATAGGATTATGAAAAATAGTTGGAGTGAAAAATGTTAATGGAGTTATTTTTAATGATTTTTGAAAGAAAAATGAACTTAAAAACAATTAAAATAAAATAAAATAAAAGCGAAAATATTTGGACCATTATATTAGATCCACACATCAGATTGCAAGACACTAAATCCATTGGATCAGAATACTAAGTCCAAGTCATTAAATCCAACACACCATATTCAAAGTCAAAACAAACTCAAGTTAAGATCACAACACGTGAGTACAACGGTCAAAACAAATTCAAAAGAAATGTGTGGCATCCTCTAATTGGCTAGGATTCGAATTTTTACTCCAGAAGGCACGAAGGTCTTCATCTTCAACCTCTGAACCCTAGCTATGTCACGATCATGAACTGTAATTTTAAGCTCAAGTACTCATGGTGCAAGTTTCATTTTACTTCATCATTCATGTTTCCTTGCTCAAGATCAATTTACTTGATCTGAGCAAGGAGAATTTGCAGAAATATGCAAGAACCCTAGCTACTTCAAACAAAAATTAAATTCCAAAGTTGAAGAATAAATTCCAGTTAGGTTAGGGGAAATGATCAGTGGAACAAGACGAAGAGAATGGTAACTTGTTTGGATGAAAATGAAACTAGTATCTACCTTTCTTAAATAAGATTTAAAGTATGAAAATGGTGGAATTGGTTTTATGCTTAGAGGTCACGACAAGATTTGGAAATGCTTTGATTAGCTTCAGAAGAGACCGGTGATGGATTATAGGTGAAGAATTGGAGTTGAAACAAAGAGAAAATGAGGTTTCAACTTTCTGATTTGGAGTGATTTCAAGCTTCAGAGTATACGGGATTTCTTGGCTTTCAAAGCTTGAGAAATGAGGTAAAATATTCCTCTATTTATAAGGAATTAAATGATGAGTTCAAGTGTGTGAGATCAGATCTAGAATGTGTGAATCCATTCTAGAATTTTCTCATTTTTTTGCAACCGTGTGAAGCAAGGTGAAAAGCATGATTCAGGACTTGAAATGAGTCATTTTGCATTTTGTGAGATGCATTTTTCAATCACAAACGAGTTTGCACATGTTTTGTGGTCCCTAATTTGAGTTTTAGGTCATTTCTAAAATTGTAGGTCACGGTCAAAACAGATTTATGAACACCTACTTTCAACTAAGGCCAAATGAAATTCCCTCGTGCCTTTTGTGATTTTTCTTGAGCCAACTGATATATTCATGGAGTAGAACATAATTCAAAAATAATCAATCCAAAAGGATGCTTGAGGTGAAAATGGCATGAGGTGGAAGTTGAGGTCGTGGCACTGAAAATTAGGCCAGACATTAGGTCAAACAGGCCATGACCTAGTTTTGTGCACAAATGACCTTCAAGATTTGAGGTCCTTAGAGCATGAATTGATGTTTTACCTCTAAACCAAAGTTGTAGAGGACATCAAGAGTGATATTTATCTAAAATAAGTGCCCATAAAAGTTTAATATTAAGGATTTATGATCTTTGGAACATAGGCATGCCAAACTTGATTTAGGCCAAAAGTTTATAAGTCCACAAAATGACCTATAATGTCTTTAAACTTTCGATAGTCTTCCAAGAACAATTGGCTTTTGACTAGTGAAGAGAACTTGGAGAGGATGTCAAGATGAATCATTTGCCCAAAGAAACCCTAAAAAATGTCTAAGTATGAAGAAGTTGTGAAGTCTTAAACTTAAGCTTGAAATGTTGACTTATTGGTCAAACCTCCTTGCACAAACTTGCAACCTTGGATATTTTCTTGCATTTCAAGGCACAATGATGATCATATGGACTCAAAATGATGTATCCTTGATTTTTCTTTGATGAAGCTTGCAAGGGCTTGAGGAAACTTGTTGATGAAGACATGGAAATAAACACATGAACCTGTGAAAATTCTTGAAAACAATTATGCTTGTGATATCTTTGATAAAATGAAGTTGAATAATGCTTGAGACAATATGGTTTGATATTAGAGGTAAGACTTTGACGAATAAACTTTAAAGATCAATGGTTAACCATACTTTAACTTAAGGAACTTAACCTCTAGCTGAGGATACATTCACATGATGCTCTTGATTCCAAACCTGACCTTGCAAAAGAAACAAAAGGGGACAAAACATATTTTTGTATTTTTATTAAAGGTTTGTAAAATATAAAGCATATAAGTACAAAAATAAAGGTACACAAATATGGGCTTGGTGATCTCTACAAAGCCAAACCCAATGAGTGGGTGGGGGGGGGGGGGGGTTAGGAGACAACCAAGTTTGTGATCTTGATGAATTGTAAGGATGCAAATAAAGTGGGATCTTAGGGTTAAAAATTAGGGTACGACACATATGGATAAGATGACATGACAAAACTCTCAGGAGCAATTAATGATATATGCCAATATGCCCAAACGGTGAGTAGGTGAATGTATCCTCCAATACTTTTTACTCCTACCTTGCTTGCTTTACACATATGTCTAAATAATGTAGCTAGACAAGCAGAACCCCAACTATATATATATATATATATATATATATATATATATATATATATATATATATATATATATATATATATATATATATATTACATTTATCTAAATCTCCTACTAGGGGTATCTAAGGAGTAAAATATAAATTTTCGCATGAAGAATGTTAACCTCTTCAGTTGGTGCAACCTTTTGTTTTAATTATTCTAATATACTTCGTAGCCAAACAATTTTAACATAAGATTTATTTTTATGTGAATTCAAAGGTTCTACACCTAAATGTTCCATATATACATCACTCCCTACTTGAATAGGACCATTAATAGCCCTACCGTTTACGCAGGGACTAAACAATATACTTACATCTTCCAATGTTATGGTACATTCACCGGTTGGAAGATGAAAATTATGTGTTTCCGGTCTCCATCTTTCTAATAAAGCAACAATAAGTTTTAAATCAACCTTGATACTGCTTATTTTTGCAACATTTACAAACTTGGCTCGTTCCAAATACAGTATTATTACCGGACTTGGTGTATCGATAGAATGCGGATGAAGTCTAAATCTATCTTTGGCCTGTTTCAAATATAGAAAAATCAATATGATGTTCAACAAAAATAATGAACTCTAAATATGTAATAATATTGCATAAAAATAATTAAGTACAATATAAAAATCTTACGAATGCAACGATATTTTCTAGTGTTCCCCGATGTTTTTGTCTCATCCACAACAATGCCATTTGATATAAGTTTACTAATGAAGAATATATTTTGCAAACTATTGATGAAGGAGTGAGTTGATGATGAATATGCGTGCACAACAATGGTATTTATAGAGGATTAATCAGAGGTAATTTTTGGTACATGCTATTAACCCTTGATCAAAATAGTGTAGCAACACAACTACTCTGCATGCTATAATACTAGCTACTACTCTGCATGTTATAAGTAAATGCTGCAGGATTCCAATATTATGCATGCAACCTGCCAAGACCTGACTACTCAATGCTTCTACAACATGTCGAACTTGGGAAGGATGAGCCCACACGTGAACCTTTATAGCTCGGCCTTTTGATGGACAAGCCATCACGGGATGATCATTGGATCATCCTTTTGAGAATGAACATGACACCCCAGGCCAATCTGTGTCTCATATCCGACCGACATCCATCTATCAAGAGTGTTTATGATGATCCTGAAAATGGATGGCAATATCTTCCATCTTCACATGTTTACGAGGCCATGTTTGGACAAAAATGCTGGCGTCTGGTCAACCTTTCATGGATAACTGTAATAAGGGAATGGCTGAAGAAGCGAGTAAATCTAGCAGACATAATGTCATCCAATTTGATTGCGAGATATTCTATTTTATGGTGGCCAAAAGAATTAATCAGAAAGATGGCCGACCATTGGGTACTTTCGACATTGATCTCAACATGTACTAGTATACGCCAGGACCACACCATGTACATACCAGATGTTTTCAAGATTTTTAGTGTTTTTAAAATCTACAAGGAAAGCTTCTTTGAACTTCCACACCATGAAAACTGGCAAACATATGAAGGATATACTCTTTTCCATGATGAGACAATGCGAAGGAAGAAGAAAGGATGCCCAAATAGTACTCAAATTAGAACCAAAATGGACGACGTTGAAAAAGAGAAGAGAAAATGTGTGATTTGTCACAAAATATGCCATATGCGTAGAAAATGTCCAAATATAGCTGGCCCGTCTAGATGATTTTTTTAACTTATCATTTAATTAAGATTTTAGCTTTCATTGCATGTCTTTGTCATTCAACATTCAGTTAATATTCAAGACAAGTTTCATCAACAACAAAATAAAGAAATCGCACATAAAAAATAAGACGATAAACAATATAACGATTAAACACCTAAACATGCCTAGGAGATTACAACCATCAAGACAATATCAGTTTGTCAATACATCATCAAAACAACATCATAGTTGTTTTTAACAACTTTCTAAGACCAAGTTTCTCCATCTTTAAGAAGTCTTTCAATTCTTCTAATCTTTTCACCTTCAACAATTTTTCCATCTAACCAACTCACTAAGATTCTCTGAAAATGCTCGAATGTCACCGTATTCTATAGTCGGTTCTTCAGCAGAGGCTTTATTATCGAAAAGTACAATTGTGCATCTCTTTTGATAAGATGAGTATTTGAATTGGTAAAATACTCTATTTTTAAAGAAATATTTCAGAGTGAAATGATTAAATGAGTGTAAATAATCTGAGAACTAGAGGTTCTCACACAAAGCTGTTTATAGAAAATTTAAAAATAATAAAATATTTCGGCCAATGGATGACCGAGCATATTCGTGCAATTATTGATGTGTAATTGATAAAAATAAAAAATTAATAATATAAATAAAATACTAAAATTGTATTATTTGATAATATGAATTAAATTTTAATCACATTTTATACAAATATTTACTATAAAATTATATTAATACTAAGAAAATTGAAATATTTTATTATATTATAATATTAATTAAAACATTTATTTATTATTATTTATAATATTATAATATTAATTAAATCATTTTTAAGCAATTTAAACAATTTTAAAAAATTTATTCAATAAAAGTTATATTATTTTTAATATTAATTATATTATAATATTAACTAAATTATTTTTAAACAATTTAAAAAAAAGTACTTCAATGGCTTGACTAATGAATGGCCGATCTTCAACGTCACTTGAGACACTTTATTGGTTTGTCTAATAGTTGGCCGAGTCCATATTTTACAGTAGCATTTATGAATTTTTTTCAAATTATAACATTTTAATATTATATTTTAAAAATAGTGGCATGTGTAAAAAATTCTTATTGATTGACTAAACTCTAATTACTACAAATACCAACAACTATTGACCACCATCTCCTTCAATGGTGCCATAAATTATTATTAATTACATAAATTATTATATTTCATTAATTTCAAAATAAATTATTATTTTAAAATATAATTTCATGGATTTAATAAGTTTTAATTAAATAGACACGAATGAAATTAAAAATAAATTATTAAAATTCTATGAAGTGAGTGATAATGAACACAAGAATCTACCTCCAATAAATACTTTTTGTGATCATAAAGTCACAAACACTCTTGGTGACTAGACAGACACACTTTTTATTCCCTGATCCACCAAAGCTTCCTCTTCATCCATCTATCTATCCATCCATCAACCAAACAAATACCATTCACATCCATATCATCATCTGAATTCTTCATGGTCATCATTATATTTTTGTGATGCTTCATTCATTCATTCATGCAGATCAAGAAAGTGTGACATAGCATAAAAAAAGATAGAAAAAAAATTGAATTAGTGAAGTATTAATATTATTATTATTATTTCAGTGTACTATAACATAGAGGTGAAATAACTGAACTCTTTGGTCGACATATCGTAATCACAGTGTCAAATCAAGGCATGATGATGAGATAGAAAACACTGTTATAATGAAACAACACGTAAACCAATCTGGAACTGTTGTTGTTATTGTGACTTCTCGTCAACAATTAACCACTCTTGTGTTCTTGAATTTATTGGAAAGATGTAACAGTGTTGTTGTTTTGTTTTTGTGAATTATAAGTACTTTTATTTCCTCATATGAAGACAAAATTTGGATGTTTGTGTGAAAAACGTTGGTGCCTTTCCGTTTCTGGTCAGACCTTTACCAGGTTGACACCTTTTTTGATCAAACAAAACACATAAAATCTGATAACTTGTAACTTAATGAATTTACTAACTAGTTTGTGTTTTACAGTACACAAAAAATAAAGTACTGTGTATTTTTTATTTTTTGAAATACTAAAAAAAATTAAGTTCAAAATTGGTATTGAATGTGGAGAAATTAAAATAAAAAATATGAAGAAATAATGTGCAGAAATTTTACCATTGAAAATATATAGAGAGAAGATTTTGTTAGAGATTTAGGTGGGTTTGTATAAAAAGATACGTGGTTATTGCGGTTAAGTCCTGGTTAAAAAAATCTTCATATACAATTTTTATGAATAATTAGTGAATAAATAGGATTTTTTTTTCAAATTTTTAATAGTCCAAAATGTGACAAACTTAGCCTCATATGTTGGGCCTCTAAAAAAAATTAAGAGTCCTATCCATAAATTATTATTATTATTTTTTTAAAATTACTTGCGTTTTGGTTTATAGTGTTTTTTTTTTCTTGTTTTATTTCGAATTTGAAGTATTTTAATTATTTTTAAATTTATAGTGATTCAATGTGTTTAGAAATTTCATTAAAAGTATACAAAATGAGTTATCATACAAAATTTAAAATTTATAATGATTTAATTGTGGTTAAATAACCACATACAAATATTTATCACGATTTAACCGGAGTAAAATATAACTTTTATATATATATATATATATATATATATATATATATATATATATATATATATATATATATATATATATATATATATATATATATATATATATATATATAAACTATAACAAATCTTCTCGCCATCTCCAAAAATAAAAACATGAAAAGATTTTATTGTGGTCATTCTTTTCATCTCAGTTAACGTTGTCGGTTGTTGCAGCATTGAAAAGGAACGAGCTCAATAGTATTTTATCTTCGGTTGTTGCAACATTGAAAAGGAACGAGCTCAATAGTATTTTATCTTTGGTTTCTCCCTCAGCCTATGTCAAAGACAAGTTTGTTTGGTGGCGTGACCTTGTCGGTTTCTTTATAAAATTTGCTTTTCTTCGTCACCAGATTTTATCTTGCAGCACCGTCTCAATTCCTACTAATCTTGCGATAATTCTGGATAGTTGTGAAAAGCTAATTTCCCTTCTAATACTCAGGTGTTCGTGACAGTTTCTCCTCAATCATCTTCAAACTAAATACGAGTTGACAAAGCGAGATATCGTATCTGACCAACATAATTTAGTCTGTCATTTGTGTTTTTGGTAATAATGAACCTCATCTTCACTTGTTTTTGATGTACCAAAAATTTGAGTTAATTTAGAATAAGGTGTTGGATTGGATTGGGCTTGGCCGTCTCCCAACACCTTCATCAATTATTATTGGCTATGTGAAATTTTTTGATAGGATGATGAATCGTCATATAATCAAAAAATTTAAGTTTTTGTTTCTATTTTTTTCTTTGATACTATTAAGAAATTTTCCTTTTTAGAATGATATCCTTTTTAATTGAGGGTTTCGTGATGTTATTGACGTAGTTTTTTTGGCTAAATCTCTTTCATGGGATTGGACAGGTGCTAGATTTAAGGTTGTCTTTCTTTGTGATAAGAGTTATTAGTTAATTAATGTATTCCTTAAAGTTTTAGGAGTTTTTCTCCTCTTTTATATTGGGTTTATTATCCCTTGTGCTCCCATTAATCTTGACTTATAAAAAATATTAAGTTTGTATGTCTCTTTTAATATGAATCTTATCTAAATATAATTTTATTGTTATTTTTAATAAATATTTATATTTATTTATTTATTTCATATTATAAAACTCAATTTTATTAAAAGTAGTAAGAGTTTCCCGTTGAACTAATTTTGACAAGTCTATATTAATCAAATGTAATAAATTTAACCATTAAAAAACCATGGTACTTTAATTACATCACAAATTACTGCAAAGTTTGTTCTTTTAAATTTTTATTTTCTAAAATTCATGTCAATTTTATTTATTAACAAAAACACAACAAACTTGTGAAAATAACAACTATGTAAATCTTTGAGAAACATGAAAAAGAAGAAAAAAAAAATTTATTTTCAGAAATATGTTATCACTAGCTAGCATTGCATCTTTGTTCTTTCATTGTGAAACTTCAAAAACACATTTTCACAAAATAAACATTGTGAATCTTTTTGAAATAATAATAACAATTGAAACACACATAACATAACTTTAATATAATTCCATATCATACTATAAATCCACAAACATAGTTCTCTTGATCTCATACAAAAGAAAAATAAAAGTTACATATTTAAGTCAACAAAGTCATGATGATATCTCCATCCATACTTTGAAACAGCACACATATCTGAAGTCATTCTCATGAACAGTGTTCACAAACACCATTTTTCAGTTCAATAATAACCCTAATAGTAACACACACGAACTGTCACTAAAGATAACAAAAAGAAGAAACCACAAATTCATCAAAATAGACAACAACAAACAACAGAAAACAGTAATAAAACAACACCATATATTAAACCTTCATCCCCCTTCAGCTTTTCAATTTTCCTATATCTGTAACACAAAAACAAAGTTGATTAATAGTTAATTAGGTTAATCTGATAAGATAAAACTAATGATGCTTACGTGGTTAATTACCAGATAATAACATGCACCATGTTGGAGTGAATGGAGAGTTACACCCCATTGGTTTGTTAAAACTGGTTGGCCAGTTGAATGAATAAGCACAGAATCATCACCAAATGCTTCACGAACATTGAAAGGTCCAGATGCTACCTCAAACGCCACATCATTGATGAACACCATTAATCTTGCAGGAACACCTGTTTCTCCAATGCCTGAGATACACTCAATCATTTCACATATAGAACCCTAACTATAGCTATATACTAGTAAAAGTTAAAAACAAATACAAAAGCCTATATTTCAGCCAATAAAGCCATGCACACGTGACCTAAAACCATGGTAGAGTAATTAGCCACCTCTTTCCTTCTTTTGCTTTACTTACATT